ATGCCTGGCAATACTTGTTCATGCACGGGACATATATAAGTAAATAACTCAATCAATCTGGCTTTTGAAAAAAAATTCAGTTAGGTATCTTGCCAGTTCTCAACTACAAAAAATATCAATAGATAAATTTTACGTCCATAAGCGGCTAAAATGTCCTACAGGAATAAATTATTTTTTATTTGATTTGATTATAAGTTTGATATATCAGCCATTAACATGGCTATATATCATGCGAGATGTTGCTAGGCAATGATGAAACTCACCTGCTTTTTACTTATGCATTCTTTAGCAAATTCAGCTGCTTTTTTAAGCACTTCCTGCATGTTAGGTGGTGGCGCGAGACCACAGCGTCTGCCCATCTCATCTTTACTCTCCACATACCCTGGTGGGGCACAACGTTTGGCCCAAGGGTCTTCGAGTTTTAACTCCATAATCTGGAATATAACAATTTTATACTTATACTTAGAATTAAACAAAATCATGGGATTTTACCACTTTATATTTATTTTTATTGAGTTATTTACCGGTATTTCGGCAGTTACTACTGTTATGATTCCGCGAAAAATGCAGCAGCGGGTAGATGATAAATTTAAATGTCATATTCGTCTTTACGTCACATATCTTCGTTTGTGAAACTCAGTCGATAAACCAATACTTACTGTATCTTCACGTACAATCTCAACACTTTTGTACTTACAAAATTTCTATTTATTTATTATTTTTTTAATAAGAATTGGTACTTAGCAGTTTCTATGTTCCTTGTTAATGTATATTTACTTTAAAAAACATAGATTTAAAAGAGTATTACGCAAGTTTCTTGCTCATTCAAAAGTGCTTATATTAAGTTTATTTTAATAAAGATAATTTCTATTTCTATTCTTCTTGTCATGAGTCTGTGATCCGAATGAGTGGTAGAATAAAAAAATATGACTATTCAAAAATATTCATTCAAATGAACTTAATATAATCATATTAAGTTCATTTGAATGAATTTCTATTTTATGTAATTGGAAGAGCTAACGAATAATTACGAGGATTTTCTTTCACAATGGGTATATTATTTTGCTATATTTATTACATTTTCACATTCACATACATTATACATATATGTATGTACATACAAATATATAGCAAAAAATAATCTTAACACGATTACCCGAATCCAATCCAAAAACAGACAATAACTGCAGCGAAACCGGTACGAGCAACTAGTATCTAAATAAACAAATAAAAACGGCACAAAACATATTTAAATAAATCATTGACTGTTTTCATACCTGCTCATCAGTCAACCCTTGCATCTCAGGAGGCAAGAACGTCCCATGATCGCGCAGTTCCTCCAGTTCATAGCAAATCCTTGTTACCTTCAGTCTGCCATTGAATATCGCTACCACATCATTAATCACATCATCAACAGGATTATTTATGTCTGTTTCGTAGAGGAATTGATTTTCATCACCCCTTTTCACTAGGAGTATCACCATTTTCGTGAAAAATTTCGTGAAAATTTTCGATACCGTGATGTTATTGAGCAAACAGTATGGTTGCTATGGAGGTTTGTTTATTGCCATGGCAATATACTATATGTTTGATTTTCAAAATTTACAGTTATTTATTTTTTATTGACAACTAGATAAATACCGCGGCGCCGCACGCGTGACGTACGGCTTATGTTATTCTGTTAATATCTATCTATAAAAAAAATAGAAATAGCTCTATAGTAGTGTTTCTTTTTATCCGTTACAAATAAATATAAAATTTCTTTTTCTTAATATTAATATATGTAACCTAGCTATGTGCTCTGTCTTCGCGCTGGTACAATTATTGATATATAAAATAGAGTCTATGGACTGCTTTGGAAAGACTCTAAAAATTTATATTTTTTTTTAATTTAATATTTATGATTGATATTAACTAACTACCCGCATTTTCAACCGCATGAAATTTATAGCCTATAGATTATTCTGCTGGATTATCTGATGATATTACGGTCAGTCAATAAAAAAATAATAAGTTAAATTACTGTGAAGTTTCATCAAAACCGTTCGGTATTTCTTGCGTGAAAGTGTAACAAACCAGCATTTATCCATATATACTCACTTTCCCGTTAATAATATTAATAAGAACAACGATATGGGTTCTTATATGCACGAGTAACTCTTTAACAGACAGACGAACAAAGCCACCCCATAATCGTTCGGTTGTACAAAACATTACAATTTACAGTACGCTTTCTAAAACATAAACTAATTTACAGTAGATCTGTAAAGCAATTCGACTATATAAGTACGAGGTTCAACAAGCGTAGGTAATTACTTGTGGCGTTATTTGACTGCGTAATGTACAACAGTTGCCACTTTAAGACTCATCATAGATCCAATCTCATTAACCATTTAATTTAGTTCCTACCGAATTACAAAGGAAAACAATAATTAATTCTAGTCAAGTCGCTGAGAACGCCTACTAAATTGAAAACGTATACATAACAGCGCTACACAATATTGCTATTGTATTTTTGTAGGTGCCTTTGATGAAATTTTCTGTTTCCTCAATTTAATTCTTATTGTTTTTTATAATTATGTACGTATACGTACTGAGTTTTATGTGAAATTTACGCTTAATATTATTTATTAAATTATCTTTCACAATGACAGTTAAAATTTATATTTGGTTCTATGAATATACTTTATCTACTAGACATGTCCCTCAATTTTGAAACTATACTATAGTATACGACGACCTCGGTGGTTTAGCGGTCTAGCACACCGCTTTACGACCGATGATCGCGGGTTCGATTTCTCACGCGGCACAATCATTTGTATTCATGAGTATGATTGTTTGTATCGGTCTGGGTGTTTTATATGTATAATATGTATGTATTTACAAAAAAAAATATCTATGTATATGTATCAGTTGTCTAGTACCCATAACACAAGCTTTGGCTAGCTTAACTTGGGTCTAGATGGTGCTGTGTGAATTGTCCTGAGATTATTATTATTATATAGATTATTGTTACCAAAGTAAGTAGATTTGATCTCATAAGTTCTCATTGGTTTTTTATGTTACGTCATCAACATCATTCAATGATGAATTGAATTCATGACCTCTGTGGTCTAGCGGTTTAGTTCACCGCCTTACTTCCGGTAGCCGCGGGTTGGATTCCTAGCATGGTACAAACATGGGGCCCTTAAATGATAATATGTAATTTTAGGTATACCAACATAGGCTAAGTATAATTGTTACTAACAAATTAGATCTCTGTTATCTGAGTAAATGAATGCCTTGTGAATTGTCCTGAGATATTATTGCTACCTGATCTCGCTCAAAACTTATAAACTTACTTTGTGGCGTACAAGTGAGAAGTACGTAGACGACTTCATGCCAAATCTCTTCTTAAATGTATTAAAGATAAAGTCTAAAGCAGTAAAATCTCTTCTAAAATATATTACAGAATATGATTTATAACATACCTTTCGTTTTGAATTAATGTCGCCATTCTCTTAGCGGCCGGCTGACCGTCGTGGTCACATTACGCGGACCGCTGGACTTTCAGCTACATTAGGCACGGGTCCCCTGTACGGCTGGCGTACAATGCATTGTGTATTTACTTATATGCACAAGGTCATTCAACTTAAGTAACATTATATACACACCATCTGCATTTAAAAAAAAGACATTTTGAATGGGACCACCCAGTGATGTATTTATGAGTCTTTTATTCGGATTGGTACAGTCATAAAAAGGTAACAAACAGACAAGATACTATAGGCCTCGGTGGTGTAGTTGTTTAACACGCCGCTTTACTTCTGATGGTCGCGGGTTCGATACCTCGCACGGTACAAACATTTGTATTCATGAGTTTGTGTCGGTCTAGGTGTTTTCTTTGTATAATATGTATGTATTTACGAAAAATAATAAATATTAATACATAGAAAACACTCAGACCGATACAAACAATCATACTCATGAGTATAAATGTTTGCACCGTGCGAGGAATCGAACCCGCGACTATCGGAACAAACCGCTAGACCACCGATGCGATCTACATGCATTTCTATCGTTCAATAACAGATTTCAATTCAATTTGAAAGTATATCAGTTGGTACTAACTTGTATCAGCAATATAAATTATCTTAACGCTTCACTGCAGACGTCCAGTACATACGATTGAAGATAAAATCAAAATGCAGACTGGAAACTAAATATAATATTGTGCACAGAATATTATTTTTAACTATTTTTCACGGAACTTTTAAAGACAATTTTTTTTTTAAAGGATGATGATGGAATGGTGCACCCGCCTGCGCTAACGGTTTACGCTGGCGGGACACCAGTGGAGGATGATAGGATGAACATGAAGTCAGATCAGTTAGCCCAACGTGATTTCACCGAGAATGTATCACGATGGTTTCCAGGGGGAACCGCGTGGAGGTCGATCTGATATGGTACATTGCTAGCAATGGGGTTATTAGTCCTCATTACTAACAATTCCCTTCCACCCTAAATACATATTAAGACGCAGCGTGGGAAGACCTCCAGCAAGGTGGGCCGTTGATCTGGTCAAGATCGCTGGAAGGCATTGGAAGCGAGCAGCGCAAGACCGATCGTCGTGGAGATCTTTGGGGGAGGATTTTGTTCAGCAGTGGACGTCTTCCGGGCTGAGATAATGATGATGATGATTTAGGATGAGCAGCAAAAAGTATCCATTGCATACAAGCAAGCATCAGTCCACACTCCAGCATCGTCATGACGACCTCGGTAGTATAGTGGTGTAGCACAACACCTTGCTTCCGATAGTCGCGGGTTAGATTTCACGGCACAATATACGGAAAATTATTTATATAAAAAAAATCTATTAAAAAGAGCAACACACAAGTTTTTTGCTCATTCTTCTTGTGATGAATCTGCATTCCGAATGAGTGGTAGAATCAAAATATGATTATTCAAAAGTGCTTGTAATGAGTTTATTTGAATAAAGATTATTTCTATTTCTATTTCAGATATCGAGTCTGGCACATAGACATGGTCATGACATATCGACTGAAGATCCAGAGTTAATTGATGGGCACCATGACAACAACACTCACCATGGGAAGGTCAGTTTTTTTTTGGACTACTTTAATATCTAAGTATTTCTATCAGTTGTATAGTACACACACCACAAGCTCTGCTTAGCTTGGAACTAGATGGCGCTGTGTAAATTGATTGGCTTATTATTATTACTCTACTAGCTATATTTTGCTTTATATTTATATTTTTTTTTGACATTTCTCATTTATATTAGTGCACCGTCAATATCTTTCTCTGCACCACTCATGGTTGCCTGGTAGATAACGCGCAAGGTATTAAGTCCGCCATATGTACAATTGAATTTGTGCATTAAACTTAAATAAATCTTATATATAAAATTCTCGTGTCACAGTTTTCGTTCCCATACTCCTCCGAAACGGTCTGAGAATCGGCCAACATCTATTTTTCATCCCTCTAAATGTTAAGGATAGTCCACTCCTAAATATTTTTTTTATTTTAAGGCAAAACAACGTTTGCCGGGACAGCTAGTCTAAATATATATAACTCAAAGGTGACTGACATAGTGATCTATCTACGCACAGCCCAAACCACTGGACGGATCGGGCTGAAATTTGGCATGCAGGTAGATGTTATGACGTAGGCATCCGCTAAGAAAGGATTTCGATTAATTCTACCCCCAAGGGTATAAAATAGGGGATGAAAGTTTGTATGAAACTTTGTCAATTTTAAACCGATCAGGCTGAGACTTTGCATACATAAAGCTATTATGACGTAGGCATCCTGTAAGAAAGGATTTTGATAAATTCCACCCCTAAAGGGATAAATTAACGTGATAAAGGCCGCGGGCAAGAGCTAGTAAATAAATATTTTATTTTGAGGCGAACGGAGTTTGCGTGGTCATCTCGTTTAGGAATAAATATTGTAAAATCCATTTTCACATCTTCAAAGTTTGAATTTAATCCCGTATTCGGGCTTAATGGATTTAAACGCAACCGTATGGACCTCTGAGTTATATCAACTGAGTACTTCACTATTTATTTAGGATTATATATATGAAATTTATTAAAACGGGTCAAACACGGCGTGAATTTAGTCTCTATAAATAGATATATCATTTGAGTAAACGTTCGTTAGCTTACCCTCTTATCCGTAGATATCATTATCACTACATAGTATAAAACAAAGTCGCTGTCGCTGTCTGTCCCTATATATGCTTAAATCTTTAAAACTACGCAACGGATTTTGAAGAGGTTTTCTTAATAGATAGAGCGATTCTGGAGGAAGGTTTAAATGTAAAATACATGTACACCCGCGCGAAGCCGGGCCGAGTGGCTAGTCATTACATAGTATAAAACAAAGTCGCTGTCGCTGTCTGTCCGTCCCCATATATGCTTAAATCTTTAAAACTACGCAACGAATTTTGAAGAGGTTTTTTTAATAGATAGAGTGATTCAAGAGGAAGGTTTATATGTATAATACATACATAGACACTCGTGTGAAGCCGGGCTGGGTGACTAGTTTATAATATCAGTAAGGGTTACGGTATGCAAACACTTTGAACCGCATAATTCAGGTGGAATTGCATACAAATCAATACAGCATTGCTCGAAACGATATAAATTGTCACATCGCGTGTTTGATATTCGTATGTCTTCTAATAAACTCAGCCTGGAATCCTATACTCCATTTCCGTGGGGTATGGTCTGAGTTTCAGCGTTTCTTTATACTGGCAGTGATAACCACCACGTTGTTGCAAACGTCCATCTTTTTTTCGGACTACTCTACTGCTGTTCGCCGCAGCTGGCCTTTACAGCTTCACTGGACGATAGGGAGCGAGTGCAGATGGCACTCCAAACCAAAGGAAAGACTTATGGAACGGCTGAAGGTCAACTCCCGCCTGACGGATGCGACTTTAGTCTGAAGGCACCGCTAGGGGTTCGAACCTCGGCTCAGGCCGTCGTAATATCTATCCCCGTTTGAATTGGACGGGGGATCGATCGGAGGGGATACCCATCTGATAGTTGACAGGCAACACATTCACAGGCAACGGTTGCCGTAGCCTGTGAATGCTTGAAACACTAGTTTGTTTTCATACATTTAAATTTAAAAGTGTAAAGTTACAATAATTATTCAAAAGAGCAACACTCAAGTTTCTTGTTTGTTTTTCTTGTAATGAGACAACTGAGAATAAGCGATCAATTAAATAAAGGAGTATAGATATTCAAAAGTGTTTAATTTAAGTTTATTTTAACAAATTTTCTTTTCTATTCAATTGTATTATATTCTCTCCCCATTCTTTCAACATACATAGTACACAACGTTTCTCAAATTATTTATTTATATAAAAAAACATCTATTAAAAAGAGCAACACACAAGTTTCTTGCTCGTTCTTCTTGTGATGAATCTGCATTCCGAATGAGTGGTAGAATCAAAATATGACTATTCAAAAGTGCTTGTAATGAGTTTATTTGAATAAAGATTATTTCTATTTCTGTTTCTATAAATTTTATGCATCTCTTTCTATTCTATTACTTTCTCCCTCCAACATCATATACTATTGTATCCACTCCACGTTTCTCAAATATAATGGTTAACGCTATACATATTTGTGGCCCTACCTTTTGTCGCCGAAATATGGAGTGGTGGAATTAATGCTCCAGGAAACTACGACGGTACGCATTTCCCCCTGGATCTATAAATACTCCACGCAGTCTATTCCAACGCCTAAATGAAGATTGGTGAGCTGTGCAAATTAGTTTTTAGTAATTTACACTTATACAGTCACTGTTCTGTTATAAACTGTAAAATCTGGAAATCTACCCACACAATTGCAACATTTTAATTTTTACGTACTTGTCGCTGGTAGTAAGTATCTATGATACAGGCTCGGCCTGTATAGGTACTACTGGTAAATTAAAAACTGTAATAGTTTATAAGAAGAATAACTAACTGTAACTACTTAAATTGGTGTTAATAAATATATTATTATTATTATTATTAATTTGTTGTTGTAAAATTTATTATACTCAGCTACAATTTGTATAAAGTCCTACCTTAGTCACACTGATGTCTGCCACTGAGCAGTTTGCTTTGTAATATGTGTCTCGGTTTAAAACATGAGATATAGCCTCTGAAACTTTAGACGATACGGTACGGAGAGGGGTGGAGGGTGAGTGATTTTTGTTGATCTCACGCGGTACTTTAAAATATGAACCAAATTAAAAAAAAAGCTTACTATAAAATTGAAGAATTCGTTAACGACAATATTGTTTTTATAGAAAAACTTAAAATCCATAGCACTGACAATATTATCCGATTACACTAGTAATGAGCGCGTAGCGATTTCTATGTTGATTATCGCATGCCTCTTACTTGTTATACTATAATTATTATATAAAAAAAACATCTATTCAAAAGAGCAACACGCAAGTCAATAACACAAGTCAACACACAAGGGATAGAATTAATCAAAATCATTTCATAGCGGATGCCCACGCATGCATGCCAAATTTCAGCCCGATCCGTCCAGTGGTTTAGGCTGTGCGTTGATAGATCACTATGTCAGTCACCTTTGAGTTATATATATGTACACCCGTGCGAAACCGGGACGAGTAACAAAAAAAATAAAGTGAAACAGAAAAAGAAAATAAAGGAAGTGAAAGTAAAGAAACGTACACGCGTATGTTTCATATCACTTTCTTTTCTATCACGCGCGACAGAGTCAACATCTTCTTCCTTATCCTATTTATTTGTGGTCGTCGTAATATGTTTTTCTCTTCCATTACTCCCTGTTCGCAGTCATCTCGTTATTCAATACAGAGTGGACACAAGAAATAGTAACATAATCATTATTGCCCACGCTACGTTTACATTCAGCCGCTTCCCTTGCCACTCGTGCTGCCGGAAATATTACCGGGCGACAACTGAGCGAGAGGGCTGAATGTAAAAACACGCTGCCACTCGCGCTGCCAGTCCTTTGACTCGCGCACGAAAAACCGACAATCGAGGGAGCGCCGGGCAGCGCGAGTGGCAGCGCCAATGGCATGGGAAGTGTTTCCACTCGTGTTTACACTCTCGCGCTGCTCACTTCTGTACTCACTTCCCTGCCCACTCGGGCTGAGTGTAAATTGGGCATTACGCGCGATTAATCGCTTAGGATAGCACGCGATTTAGTGCGAATCGGCGAATCGATATGGCGAATGATATCGGCGAATGGATAGTTTTAGATGTTGTTATATGAACTATTAATAGTAATGAACCGAAGTTTGGAGAACGGTAGAAACTGGTTCAATATACACAGTGCTTTGTTTTCTTTATCATATATTAAACCTAAATATTAACACGTTGACGGACAATTGCGGCTATAGCCGTCAAAGCGAAGTTCACAATGTGGCATGACTGCTATAGCCGTCCAAAACGAAACAGTCGTTTTTAGACACTACGGCTATAGCAGCACAAATGTGCACTTACTGGCGTATACGTAGAAGCATAGTGTCGTGTTTTGAAAACATCTTTTTAGGTTGAAGTTCATATTTCACCTGTTATACGAGTTGCAGATTCATTATGCACGTGGTTTGAAGGGAGTAGTGCGATCGATTTATTATTATTTATATAACTATACTGGTATGTATTTGTTTATTATTCATTTTATACTTTAAACAGAAATAAAAAAACAAAATTTAGCATTTTAGGTTAGGTTAACGATACTATAGGTTATACTCTTTACTTTTTTTTTTTTGGTTTTACATTTGAAATATAAATAAATAATGATAATGTAAATGATAAATATATATTATATATATAATATAATATATAATATATAAGTTTATTTAAACAGAAAGAGTAAAACTATACTTCTAACATTCTAAAAATCACAAAAACATATAGTGTCAATTTTTGAACTTCGCTTGTTCCTACTGTCCGTCAACGTGTTAAATATATAATGTTCTGTAATCACGAAACTTATTGCTTATATATTCAGCTACCTAAAATTTAGGTGTGGACTACCCCTAAAATTTAGGGGGATGAAAAATAGATGTTGGCCGATTCTCAGACCTACTTAAT